TTGAAAAGAATAGGCGGGAGTGTATTTTGCAAAATTAGAACTCGCTAATATTACATCGGAAAATTGATAATTACAATTGCAGTATTTTTTCCGATTTTGTTTTATTTATGGAAGAGGATAATAAAAGTGTTTATTTATTGCCTGTCTCTAGAGATGCGTAAATATATTATCGGTTATTTCGACGGCCAATTTTTCGGCTGTTCAAAAAAAAAAAAAAAAAAAAGCGTATTGATCAACATTCAAATGTCACGTATGACAAGCACAGCTTGTCGATATAACCATGGATATAACGACACGAGAGTAATGACGATTGGGCGCGATCTCTGATTTCGCGCTCGATAATATACATCGTCGGTCCAAGAAGCGTTTAATTGAATAGCCGCTATTCGACGCGAATTATAAACATGATTATTGCGGTGGCTCGTGCGGTGTTTCATACAGTTTCGCGGCCGCGAACATGGAAATGGTCGGGCTAGATTAGCGCGCGAGGGACGAAGGATGCACTTATACTGATTAAAAAAAGAAAAAAGCGAAAATACTTGTCGCCGGAATGCTTTTAACGAATTAATGCCCCCCTTCCACCGGCACTTTTGCGATACAATATTTACTTTTGCTCGGTAAGTCGTGTTTGCTTGCGCGCGCATGTGTGCGGGCGGTCCTATGCTGCTTAAATCATTTGTCGCAATTTAATAAAATGAAAAATAAATACAAGCAACGCGAGCTTTAATTGCGGCGTTAATTATCCGCGCTTACAGAAGCTTCTTCACTGACTTACGAAATATAAGCTGCGGAATTGCTCGAAAATTATTCGGGGATATAAGACTATTTATCAACATTATACATTTGACACTATCTCACTCGAGTGTACATACGTTTCTTTAAAAGTATGAAAATCATTTTCCTATGCTAATATAATATTATGTACTTTAATACATTTCCTGTATGTGTACTATATCTTACTATATCTTGATATTGAAAATAATTTGTACGACTTAATATTATAGAAATATAAAATATCAAATGTTTAAGTGAAAGAAAAAAAAGAACACGGGGTTAGAGAGTTAAATCTGTCAAATAGAACTTCGAAGAGAACGGAATTTGATCATTATGCGAACGTGGCGATAAGACGTCGTCGTTGTCGTCGACGAAACGGAAACATGTGCTACGACAGAAAGAAGAACGGCCTGCATACCGTGGTCTAAGGAAAATACAAACCGAAAGAAGGGGAGGAAAAAAAAAAGGTGGAACGGCGGCTCGAGGTAGAGAAACGGGAGGAAGAGATGCCGCTCGCGCTGCGGAAAAATATAACCTGTTGGACCACGAAAGAGCGAGAGCCACGTAGGTACGCGCGACGGAGAGAAGACGCGAGAGAGAGAGAAGTTGGAGAGAAAGAGGAAATGGAGCTCCGTGAGTTGGACGGAGATCTCGCTGAAGCGAGACGGCCGTGACGAAAGAAGAAGGGGAAAGACGAGTAGAGGTGAGCAGGACGAAACGGATGGAACGGAGAGAAGGATAGACAGAGAGAGAGAGAGAGAGAGAGAGAGAGAGAGAGAGAGAGAGAGAG